TAACTCTGGCGGCTCCTCTAACCCTGCTGTGCTTGGTCACAGTCCCCTTGCCAATTGGACAGATTGCTTCTGCCTTGCCTGGAATTTTCTTGATCTTCTCTCTTGAGTGGCAGCTGCTGGCACCCTGCAAGAATGGGAACTTCATGGCATATTGTGGGTCAGACACAGAAAATGCTGGAGCACAGCAGAAAAGCCAGGTGAGATCCTGATAACTGAGACTGAAGAGCTCTTCACCAGGCCTGAAGGTCTAATATTTTTTTTAATTAGTTTCTGTCCAAATAATTAGCCCACGTACCATTTTCTGCCTGGACTGTATTGATGAACCTGACTGCAGTGGCATGGTATTAAAACACCCAGACATCTGCCCATACCCAGTAATAAGTAAATTCATGTGCCAACAGTCACAGTCACTTCTCCATGGTGCCTGGACTTAGTTAGCATGAGCACCATATTGGGTGCAGTCCTGGAGCCAGCGGCACTACATAGTGCCCTAAGGCCAACACAGAGCTGGGAACACTGTGCTTAGGTGTCTGACGTGGATCTGTCTGAGCAACTTCCCATCCAAAAGATAGCACATATTGCCACACAAGTTGGCACCTGGAGTTTCTCTGCCTGTGCAACACCACTTATACCCACAAAGAATAAAATACCAGACTGTTAATAGACATTTGCAGACAGATGTTCTCCTCCTCACCAGCAAAACTGGCAGATACTACTATACAGATCTCAGGTCACCAACAGGATGAAAGACCTAAAATTTTATACATGGTTGTTTTTCCCTCAGGGTGAATACTTCAGCAGAGCAACAGAGATAATCCTGTAAATACTGGGATTTTGTTTGGCTATGGAATCTCAGTTCTGCTTCCCATTGCATCATTCTGGTGCTGCAAAGGAGGCCAGGGCTTTTCAGGAGCATGGAAGAAGGCAGCAGTAAGGGAGACTACCTTGGGAAGTGTAGAGCACGTAATTTAATACATCCCCTTTACAGTCAATATTGTGCAAACATTCATGAGAAAAAAGGAAATTAAAAGAAAGAAAAAGAAGGAAAGCGAGAGGGGAGGGGAGGGGA